CTCGGGGGCGCCGTCGGGCCCCCCCCGGCAGCTGAGGATCCGGTCCATCTCGTCGTAGTACTTGCATATCTTGCGGGCGTGCCCGTTCTTCTTCAGCCCGTCCCGGGCCTGGTAGTACTGCCGCTTGAGGCCCTTGATGCGGATGCGGCACTGCTCGGGGGTGCGCTCGAAGCCCAGCTCGGCCAGGCGGCACGCCACGTCCCGGTACACATGGCTGTTCCGAAAGTTGCCGTCCAGCGCCGACTGCACGTCCGCCTCGCCCCAGATCTCCAGCAGCGCCCGCGTCTCCAGATCCGACCACAGGAAGCCCCGCGTGTTCGTAATCATCCTTGGCCGGCCGGGGTCACTGCAATGGCCGCGCACCGGGGAGAGGGAAGGAGGGAGGGAGGGAGAGAGGGAGGGACGGAGGGGGCGGAGGAGGGCGGCGGGGAGGAGGGAGGGGGTTTAATGCCCGCACGCGGCTCTCCCAGGGGGCGCCTACGCCAGCCCCGGCAGCCGCGGTGCGGCGGGAAGCGGCGGAGAGCCGGGCCGCGGGACCCGCATCCCGGGCCGCCGCCGCTCGCAGCCCGCACGCACGCAAACAAAACTTTCCAGGCGCCGCTTTGCGCTGCGGCCACCTGCAACAAGAGGAGTAGTGAGGTGGCAAAAAAAAAAAAAAAAAAAAAAGAAAAAGGAAAAAAGCCTCTTCCCCTTGACTCGCCCTCTCCGAAAACGATGATGGTAAATAAAAAATAAACAAGCAGGCACCCGGCGCGGAGCCGCGGTCCTCTCCTCCCCCGCTCTCAGGCAGTCAATCGTGCGCTGCCGCTCCCCCGCCCCGAGCTCCGCTGGGAGCGACAGGACGACGGTGCTGGCTGGACCTGGAGGCTCCGCTCATCACAGTGCGCCTGCCTCCCTCCCTCCCTTCTCCTCCCTCCCTCCCCGCCGCAGTGGAGCGCGATCCCTACACACACACACACCCCCACACACAAGGCGCTGCAGCTCCGCTCGGCGCCTACCTCACCCCCGCGCACCGCCGTGCCGGGCCGCGCCGCGCCAGCGCGGGCAGCGACATCGCTGCGCCCTGGCCGCCGTGTCACCGAGCCCGGGGCGGGCGGGCTCCCCCCGCACCCCGCACCGGCGCACACACGCGCGGCAGCGCTGCCCCTGCAGGCCGCCACGACAGCCGCGCCGCAGCCGGCGCCGCCCGCAGCCCCGCGGGGACCCGGCAGCCGCTGCCCCTGGCAGACCCTGCGGCGGTGCTGGGGGTCGGGTCTGCGAGCGCTTCCCCCGCCCCCGGCCGTCCCTCCGCGGAGCAGGTGAGCGGCCCGGCCAGCCCCCGCGGCAGGCGGGGGTGGGCTGCATCCTGCTGGGCCCCGCTGCCGCCCCTTCGCTTTGGTTTTACTCTCCGGCAGCAGCGTCACGAGGCCGCCACCGCCTCCCTCCCGCCTCGGCCCAGCCCCCGGCGGGGCTGCTCGGCCCGGCGACCTTTCCTTCCGCGGGGAGCGCGCACCGGCCCGACCGCCCGCGGGCTCCGGCAGCACCCGGCGCCCACCCGGCCCCGCCTCCCGCCCGGGCCGGCGCTCGGAGGTTTGTACCTTGGTCACGCCGCAGCCAGAGGGCCACGGCAGCGGCCAGGGCGGCCAGGGCGATGACAGCGCCCCGTCCCCACATCCTGGCGGGGACAAGGCAGGGCCGCTCCGCTCTTACCTCGGCACAGCGCGGGGCTCCGCACACGCGCTGCCCAGCGCGCACAACTCATCGGCGCGGCTTCCGCCTCCGCTCCGCGCCGGCGGGGCCGGGCCGGGCCGGGCTCCGCGGGCGGGCGCGCCCTCCCGGCACCGCTCCGCGCCTCCCCGCGGGCTGCCCGCGCCCCGCGCAGCCACCGGCGGGCGGGGCCGCCGCCGAACGTGGTGTGTTAGAGCCCGGGAGGGGAGAGCTTAGAGAGCCGGCCCGGCCAAAGCTTGGCGCTTTAGGGCTGTCTTCCCGGATCTTTAATTAGCAGCTGTTATAAACTCCCAGGAATTTACCATTTATTGTTTCACGCTCTTCCCACCCCTCACCTCGCCAGGTGTTTCTGAGAAAACTCCTCATTTGCAAGTGTGATTTGCTTCTGAGGCACTGTTTCTTGCTCAGATACATAATTGTGCCCTATACACAGCCTTGCCCTATACTGCACTGGTGAGGCCATATCTCAAGTACTGTGTCCAGTTCGGGGCTCCTCAGTCCACAAAGCACACTTGAGGTGCTGGAGCAAGTCCAGAGAAAGGAAACAAAGCTGGTCTAGAGCACTAGTCCTGTGAGGAGTGGGTGAGGAAGCTGGCATTATTTAACCCGGAGAAAAGGAGGCTCAGGAGAGACCTTATCACTTTATAACCATCTGAAAGGAGGCTCTAGTCACATGGGGGTCAGCCTCTTCTCCAAGGTAACCAGTGTCAGGACAAGAGGATGCAGTCTTACACTGGGCCAGGGGCTTGTACAGGTTATACATTAGGAGGAATTTCATCACAGAAAGGGTGATTAGACCTTGGATTGGCTGCCCAGGGAGGTGGTGGAATCACTGTCCCTGGAGGTGGTTAAGGAAAGACTGGATATGGCACTTAGTGCTGTAGTCTAGTTGACATGTGTGATCCTGTGATTTTATAGCAGCATTCCATTATTATTTTCTTTAAAACACAACAGAGCTGGTGAAACTACCATGTGATGTTCACCTCAGCTCCTACGGCACCTGCTTAATCTACACAATGAATCAAAATGCACTGTCACCCAGGAGAAACTTAAGATTATATGCATGAGAAATCTGCAACATTTTTTTAAAGCTCTAAACAGCTGTAATTTCTGCTCTAGACTCCTGGGTATTTCAAGAAAGAGTGTTGTTATTAACCCATAAAAGCTTGTAGCCTAACTGGCAGTAAAATTTCAGTGTTTCAATTAATATTTTGAAGGGGTGAAGACAGACAACATTTTCCTTTACTGCCTGTGTTGTATATAAACTGTGGTCAAACAGACCTGCTGGTGTTACCTGGACCAAACCCAAGCACAAGGTTTTTATGTCTTTCAGCTTCAGAAGCATTGCTTAAAACAGCCATGCTGTCTGCAAAGTACGAGACAGACAAGCTGAACTTTTAGTGACCCAGGTTGATCAGTAACCCAAGTTCCGGAGCAGGACCTTGGATACCTGATGACTTCACTGTCAAGTATTAACTTGTTTGTTGGAAAGTTGCTCTTCTATAGGTCCTGATATCTGGTATGATTTTAAAGCCAATACCAAGTCAGTGAAATTTTCCTTTCATTCAGTCAGCACAAGTAATGCTTTTTACCCTCTGATTATCTGAGTGGCAGTTCAAAAGATAGATTAAACAGACAATCACATTTAGTTTGCACATGAATTTTAACCCAGAAAAAAAAAAGTTCAACACCACATTTCATACACACATGTTTTGATTCCAGCTGGAAGGATAATGAATGTGTAGATTCCCATAACTCCAGCACTGATTTAATGTCTGGAAGAGAGGGGGGAAAGAATAATGCAGATGTTTTTTTTATCCCATCAGGTGTCCCTACCAAAAGCATGTCTTGTGCCCAACAAAGGAGAGGAAGAAAGATATAGTTGTAATGTTTTTTTTGCTGAGTTCTCTGGTTTGCTTTGTAGCAGAGGTGGAAGGGAATTCTTCTGATGCTGCAGGCATCAGAAGTTGTTTGTGGAGGACCGAATTCTCAATCTGTGTGTAGAAGGGTGTCTGTGGGCTTCCCCAGTGCCACAGTTCTTCAGCTTGTTATGCACAGCTTTGTTGTGCACAGCAGCTTTGTGTAACCCCAGGAGTGTAAAACCTTTGAGCAAAACATGGTGCCACTCCTCTGACATTCTCCTGCCCTGTATCTAACTCAAGGTACCTTCTTCTGGTGTAGTACACCTTGTACAGTACAAATCCATAACTTCTGGTGCCATCTCTGAGTGCAGCAGCAGCAATACTACTTAACCAGCAGATAGGGCAGGGAAAAAGGGCCTTTAACAGAACTGCAGAAGGTAGGAGGTGTATGAGGGAAAAGTTCACACTCCCACCAAAGAGGAAGAGAAAAAGCAGCTGCAAGAGGCACTTACTTCTTCGGGTATATACTGTCCTTGTCCATTTTTTTTTTTATTGAGCTTTCTTTTCTGACACTCTTGTCACTTTCTCTGCTTGTCCCTCTTACATGAAAGGGGGAATGACTGCAGAGTTCCATTTCCTTCTTTGTTAATATCATTCTGGCTTCATTGCCTATTGCAGGCCCCTACCTCTGCCTCAGACTCTTGTCCCTCCATCCTTAACTCTTGATCTCAACCTTGAGTTCCAGCATTTTAACCCTTCCCTAGCTGCACTGTCAAGGCACCATATCCTCCTCATTAGTGCATTAACTCTGCACCTCCCCTGCTACACAGAAAAAGAGGCATCAGTAGCCAGCCTGAGAATGTCCTACTGCTGTCAAAATAGACAAGAGCTTGGAGGTTTGACTTGGTAGTAGATGGCAGCAGTCACTGACAGCTGGTGCTTGCTGGGAACAAACAGTATGGGGAGGGATGGACTGTAAGCTGGATGTCCCTAGCTGGAGACCCCGGAATAGTGACCATTCAGGACCATCTTTTTATTAGGTTCCTGATAAATCTGTGTTGGCTCTTTGCTTTTGATGACTTTGCACCCACTCAGCACTTGAGTCCTTTCCACCCATTTGGTAAGTGTTGTGCAACCCTGCCTACCAAAGCTATTCCAAGGTGAATGTGGACAGCAGGTATCAATAGCAGAGTTTGCAACATCCTTTGACTGCATTTTCTCCACTCAAATAATTGGCAGCCTGTACTGGAATCACCATTTAATATCATAAATATTACAAACATATGCCTGTCAACATATGTATATTAATAATTGCAATAGGAGGTTTAAGCATGTGTGTGGAGAAAGGTAATGGAAGAACAAAGAAGTAATAAGTAACTCTAATTGAAACTGCCCTTAAAATACCACCAAGGATTTCTTTGTTGTTGAAATGGGAATCTGGAAACACCTGTCATTGTGAAAAAGATAAAGAAAGTCCTAATTTCATTTGAATGGTTACCTAGCTAAATTGCAGCTGTTAGAATTGATAGTGTAATAGAGAAGGCAAAAAATGTATAAGTGTTGTGAGGAGAAGAGAGACAATCCTGCAGGTGTTATTAGTAGTGCTATTTACTGTTTTTAAATTGAGTGGAATAAGCATGTTTTACACTGCTAATATGTTTATCTTAATAGTAGACAAAATGTGGCTATATGGTATAAATTTTAGTTTACAAGTTTGATGTCTCTCTAGGCCACAAAGAAACTAGGAACACCTGAAGCTATAGTAATTATTCCTGTCACTTCACTTTGTGTATTTTTATATTCAAGAGAAAGGATAGCAGCAAGCAATTGACAACAAGCTGTTACAAGAACACATCAATCTGGCTCTGGTTTCGCTATAAAGTTTACTAAACAGCAATGTTATATGGGCTGAAAAAGGAAAATAAAATTGTATATGGAAAGAAACATACATACGCCTGATTAAATACTATGTTAAAAGTTTGCCCCTACAGCTTCTGTGATTCTTCATATTCTTACCAGGGCAGTACAGATATCACTTCTAGACATACTCAGTCTAATAATATTTGTGAAGCCCTGTGCTTCACTAGGTAATTTTTGTTTTACCCAAAGTGAACACTCTTTCTGCTGGGTGTTAATGGTGAAAAAAATAAACATGAGGGAAACAATAAAGAGGCTGTTTCTGATTTGTGTTCTCCTTAGAGCAGGCAATAAGCATGATCTATGTAGTGCAGTAGAAGTGAAGAAGGTTTTTGGGCTCACCCAAATCCTTCAAACAAGTTGCTGATATCTAGTGCAAACAATTATGTAAAACCTCTTAAGCAACAGCCAAAATGTTAAAACAAATGGCCTCTCTTCCAATAGGGAATAATGAGACTCTCAGAAAGTTGATACTGGGCAGTTATACAGTTTTTTTAAAAAATGCTTTATCTTGTTCTTTGGTGGCAAAATGTAACATCTGCCAAATCCATTAATTTACACAATTTAGAAGACTGCTATTATTATAAAATACACAATTTATATGAGTTTTTTACTGTTGAGTAAAACAGTAAAATAATGTTATTTAGGCATTATTTTAGTTGTGTTGTAGCTGAGCCTGAAGGCTTTGCCTGAGCATCATCTTACCCATTGTACATATACAGATGTCAGCCCCTTGCTCAAAACAGTTTTGTGTGCATTTAAGAGAGACATGAATACTCAGAATGATGGACAGATTTGTAAAAAATAAATTAGTTTTACCTTAAGTGATACAGCTCAGTTCAGTTTTGGAAATCATAGTGGATATTGAACATGACTGCTGGAGGAAGGCTACATGCTGTATTCACAAAGGGATTTGAACACTGAAAGGTTCCTCTTTCAGGTTCCCTGGGTTTTTTTTTCCCCCCTGTAATGTGTTGCTAGTTATCTCATAGATCCAGCATATGAACTTTAGCAGTTGTGTCTCCAGGTTTCTCTGAAGACTCTG